GATTCTCCCTGAACTGCTGGCCTGGCAGCAGACATCCATCATTTGCATTTCCTGCAGCAACCAGGACAACTGGAACCTGACTCCCTCGAAGTGGGCCACTTCTGTCTATGCAGCTTCTTCGTGCTTCAGTGTTTACTGGTGTCACCAAATGGACTTTGTTGACACAAGACAATTTCCAAAATATTTTTCTTCTACTCTTAGTAAGGCACCCTGCTTTGCTTATCTGTCAGTGAAGTCCACAAGAACTGTTCTTCATATCACGTTGGAGTTGCTCTTACACCTATTCTGAATAACAATCAGGACGCAGGTAATACACACACTCTGAAAATACTGCGGCACCCAATTTATTACTCCACTTTGCAGAGAAACTATATATGGCATGCAAGAATACGTATGATAATTTTGTCAGTTTGGTTTTTTCCAAATGTGTTTAGAAGTTGTCTATTTTTTTTGCTATTACCAGCTATCTTGGTGGAAATCTCCTACTGACACATTATATGCAGTAAACAGAAATAGAGAGGGCAAGATGAAAGCAGGTACGTTACATTACGGTCAGCATTATCATAAAATTTATACATTACAAACTGGAAACTAAGGTGATCTGGACTTGATTCCAAGTTGAAAGAATCATTGTAAACATGCGACTAAATTGAACACTATCACTTCTCAATTCAAGGGATATTGAGAAGCGTGCATATATAGCTTAACAGAGACACGAGATCATAAAATTAACATATACACTAGAACCAACATTCTTCCACGGTCAGAAGATCAGAGTTTGGCACATACCACAGCAAAATTCTCACTCTGCAGCCAGCTTGGTAACTGGGTAGCTTGGCTTAGTGCCTGGAAAAGAGTTGCTCTGAGAGCACAATAGTTGTCACCTCGTACTCTCCTTATAGATGCAAACTTCTGAGCAACTGCTTCATATCCCTAGAAAAACAAAAGATCCAAACATGAAAGCATTAATAAAACATTTTCAGGTTACGCACTGCTATCATAGAAAGACACTAGTATATTACCATCCAAATGCTAATGACATTTTTAAAAAAGGGTTTGATCCACTACTCATTTTGGAAGTCCAAATGCTTTTGTCACAGATTATGCTGTGGAAAAAAAATCTTCCTTAAATCTGCTGAATAACAAACAAGAAACCAAAAGAAAACTAAGCAGGTAAATGGTTATGGCATTTATTTGATGACAGTACAGAAATATTATTGAGATGTGGGTAGCTAACCTGCTTGAGTTTAAAAAAAAAAAACCAAACTATAAATCTAAAACTATATCAAGCTTACAAAAAATTTCAGCAATAGTTTATCCCATTTACCCAATATGTGTCACATGTAGTTTGTTTTTGCCTCAGGGAAAAATTGTGTTTACACCGAAATCTCTTGACACATGCCTCAGCATATCTGTTTGCTCCCTGCTGTTCCCACACATGCACTTTTACCAAAAGCAGCAACGTTGAAGCTCAACTTCTGAAGCTCAGTCTGTCTCTTCAGCTAACCCAGGAGCAGCCAATGCCCTGCGCATCTGTATTTCTCTTACTAATCTCTTGAAGGTCGCACTGGATCTTTCGATTTACAGAAAGTATTTATTAAGCTCACTTATACATACCACGAAATTTTCAAATTGTGTTGAAAAAGCAGAACAACATAAACCCCCTAACTTCTGCTTTATTTTCTACCAGTCTAGCTCGAGATTAGTATAAAAAAATCTAGTCAAAAAACCTAAAAAAAAATTAAAATTCTGGAAAGTTAAAGAAACCCTTTAGCTTATTCATTAAAGTTTTCCATCTTAAAAATCATGTAATTCACGAACTTCGGTTACTTGCCTTCTGACAAAAACTTTGGTTATCTGGTCTGCCATTTCCTCAGCCCAAAAAAATCACCATTTTACAGTAAAAAAAAAAAAATTAAAACTTCAACTGAAAACAGTAATGAAAAACCCTACACTATCAACAAGTAGCCTTAATAAAACCCCCACATTTTGAATGAATATGAACAAAACTTGTCTTCCAGCTGTCATACACTTCTCAGACTAGACACTGAAAGACACTGCTATTACGTTTCCTCTTTTAAAGATCGTTCCCATAGGAAATCACCTACTAAACATACAATGAAAACAAAACAAAACAAAAAACCCAAAATCCAATCAAAAGATAACTGATACCTTTCTCATCCTTTTTGCTACTGGTGTATTACCTCTCCATTCTTTTCTGCAATACTCCATGACGTCTATTTCAGGTGCAACACTTAGTCTGTTGTGTTCTGTTAAAACAGGATATGGAACATTATACCAAGAACTGTGAAACAGAGCAGGACAGAAAAAGCACTGAATTTCTAAATACACTCTATTGCGCTAAAACAGCATTGGTGCCAAAGGTGACTGGTAGAACAGCCTATAGCTACTAAGTAATTTATTACTATTTAAGGGGGAGAAAACTAGTTTATTCTTAGGTTATCAGGTAACAAAAATAATTACGTAGTCCAAGAAAACAGAGAACACTCTGTTCCTCTCTTCCGGACAGTATTAACTGGCAAAGAACAGAAATCAGTAAAGTACTAGTTTTCTGAGCAATTGGAAAAATATTTAACAAAAGTTTCTCTTCTTTCAGCAGTCAGAATGTAAGGGAGAAAGACAACAAATCTTTCTGAACAAAACAGAAACAGAGATTAGAGAATACAGTCTTCTCTTGAAATTCCAACAGCCTTCATTCCAAAACAGACAGCGCTAAGGTTATCAAGGGGTCCCAGCAGCAGATGCTGCTACAATGACAATAAATTGGTCACACATAACGTAGGTTATATGACTGTTTTCCAAAAGGTTTCACATTCTCATGTACTCAAATCATAAGTAGCTTCCACTGCACACAGGGACACCTGTGCACAAAAGCCCTTGGACACGAGGGTGTCAATCACAAATTAAGTTCCCCAGTGACTTGTGAAACTGTATTTAAAATGCTGAAGTTTGAATGTACCTGAAGAGCTCTTCTCACAAAGCAGTATTTTCTCTCTCTCTATTTCTTCTGCATCACGATACATGTCCTCCTCACTGCAGTAAAAACCAACACATACTTCATGTAACAGCACAAATCTCATAGTCAAGTACTTAAGTCTCTCAAGTATTTTTTCAGCTCCATTTGCTTTTCATGTCACACATTTTCACAAAACCAAGAGTTCTCAAAAAATGTTTAGAAACCTCTCAACTTCTTCCCTTTCTTATCTATGACACCTACATTTATAATGAAACACTGCCTGAATTTCTCTTCTGCTGGTTGTATGGAGGCTAGAGAGTATTAAATTATCTTTATATTGGGAAATTTTACAGGATAAATTTGCAAAAGATACATCAAAAATGCATTATTTGCCAATTATATGAATACCATAACCTAAACACGCAACTAAGAAAACACAGAACACTTCTGCCAAGTCCTTATCCCTGTTACAGTTTGGCACCAGACAAATTTCCATGCATGATCTTATTTCTCAGCAGAGACTAAGGTCCATTAAGGTTTATGAAGAGGTTCAAGAATACCCAATAACCTTGAAAACACAATGAAAAAAACAACTGGGTATCTGATAGCAGCAATTTCCAGCCTAGCTTATCTATTAGCTAAGTAAAATTAAGTAAAGCAACATCCTCCCACTCCAAGCACAAACAAACAACCTCCCTCCCCCGGTGGGGCAGGGGGAACCCCTACTTTGGGATATATCTTTGCATACATTCAGGTTGTTACACACAAAAGAGAAAAAGTGCTCAACTTAGGAAACTAGAGAGGCTGTGCAAAAAAGAAGTTTGGCTTAGATTAAGCAGCACAACTTGTGTTCCTTCTGCAGATATTACCCTATCATCTTCCTGGGATTTGACAAAATAGAACGAACAGACCCAGACAATGACAGATTAACATCCAGTGTAAACGAAGTACGGCAATTTAACTGAGATGTTTTTAAACCAACATAGCCAAGAGGTTCAGTCCATCTGTACAGGCAGTCTCATTTTGGAATTTAAAGTGTATCTTAACTTTGTTCTAGCATAGTCACTGTTAAGCAAATCTGAGGAAACGAGAATGTGGCCAAGCCAAGTCCTTCCCCATTAATCTTCACATAAACATTTGACAACAGAGTGAAAATAAGAGACGAAAAAGAATAAATAAGTAAAAACACATACACAAAGGAAAAAAGAGCGTAGTATTGTGTGTCAATACTTAAATTATTGAAGTAGTAAATCATATTCTGGTGTACCAAAGATACTAAGGGTAAAAAAAAACCCAAATAAAAAAACCCAACATAACGTCAGATTTCACTTAAGAGTAATCTAGGCTTCGCATTTTAAAAACGATCAACAGCAAAACCCTACATATCACCCCAAAAAATAAAAACCAAAAAGTTAGGATGACAGCAAGCAAAACTAAGCTGGAGAGAAAGGGAGGGACTACGTGCAAACATAGAAATAGTTTTATATTAACAGATTTGCAGGACTAGAATTCCTAGTATTTAAGATACCATACAAAAGCAAAAATAATACTTAAAGTGTTCCATTTATTATCATGAAGGGATATTTAATTTATGACAGCTTAAACTCACTGCTATTAATAGTTCATGTAAAGGCATATTAGATCAAACAGAATTAGTATGCCAAGCAGCAGCTAATTTAAAAAAATAACATATGAAATACATTCCATAGATAATTACATGAATGTGCATAAATATGCATCGATATTTTTAAAATCCCATTCGCATATTAGATTGTGTTTAAATTACAGAGTAATTTAAGCATGAAATAAGATTTTTAAAGCATCCTTGGAAACATGTACTCATTGTTAGTGACTTTTTCACTAAGTAAGCACTTATTGTAGATTTTGGATGTTGGGCAAATTATTTCACTGGCTATCTATACAAAAACAATTAATTAGAAATCACCTTCTGGTCTTACTTTATTAATGTATTCTTCAATGACATAGCCATTCGTAATGTGTATTAATTTTTTTCAGAAGTTTAGAACACTTTTTTTAAAAAAAAATGTTTCATATTCATTTTTTCCTCCCAATAACAAATATTCTTGTAAAGGCTTCTACTGTCAAATCTGAATTACACAACTGAATTTTTACTTCAACCTATAGCAGGTTTACAAAAAAAAAAATCCAACATCACACAAAAATCTGAAGTGTTATGATTAAAAAAAGCCTTCCATGATTGTCATCGCTGCACCTCAAGAGCGTTCACAAGGTTAAAACCAAGCTACCAGACTATTTGCCTTCAATTTATAGTTTCCCATACTCTGCATCCTACCTTTAAGAACTTAATGTCAGTTATTCCTTTAAATTAGGAAAGAAGACCACTAAAACTACACAACCAGGCAATTTATCTAAAGGCTAAAGGCGGCCTTCAAAGTTTAAGATTTGACATTTAGACCTATTTCACTAAGACACTAACATAAAGGAAATTTTGCGAAGAAATTCACTTTCACAAACTGAAAATACCCCTCCCTTTCTACAGAAAAGCTGTTTACGTATTTAAAAAAAAAAAAAACACAAAACCTCACCTGTCCTCAGATGATACCATTGCTGAACAGTTACTAGACTCCGGCAGATACAGCTCACAGTTCCTAGATGCATCCTGATCTGTCACAAGTGGTTCAATCATATCTCTTTTCACAGGTCTCTCAGTACCTCTGTGTACATAGTCTTTTACTTCTGATGTAGCCTGCTCTTTCTGGTCGGCAGCTGTGCTTGCTGAGCCAAGTTCATTAGAAGGAACACCAACTTCCTTTTCATGCTTCATCAACTGTGTGGTGACCTTCTCTTTCTGTGTCTGTTCTGCACCTGCAGAAAGTCTGGCTGGTTCTGTCATCCACCCTTGAAAATTATCCTGGCTTTGAAGAATGAAGAAATGCATTAAGAGTATCTCTCAAAGAAGAACAAAAGTACGTATTTTAAGAACATTACAATATATCAATAGCTATATACTGGAGATAGAGAGGACATTTAAGTTATCCAAAAAAGCAGGAACAAAATCCAGAGTAGTTCGGTAAGACAACAAAGGACCCAAGCTATTTTCAAACTCCTCTCCTTGGAAAGCTAGTTTCATTTCTCTACAGAGACTAAGCAGTGTCAGTTCCTCAAACGCAACCCACACTAGAATTAGTACCCTCATGAAACACTTTCTTAAAGGGTATTATCACCTAAAAGTCTGGGCATTAACAGAAGTCCTAATGAAATAAGTTTTAGTCCTGCAAGAGGACGATTTTTACAAACTCACCTGGTGCTCCATGCAACTTCATATTGCACCTGGATTACTAATTACTTAATGTTAAAAATTCTTACTTTTGTTTTTTTTATTATGATATCCAAGTTAAGACAACACTTTGCACAGTACATTCTAGCAAGCTCTCCACAGGTTTTTGGGTGTGTCCATAGAGTAAATTTTCCGAGATGCTTATCTCAAATACATAAACAAACCTCCCCAAAAAATTACAGGTTGCTTTGCAGCTGCCACATTCATCTTCCAGAAAATTCTTCCTCTTGCTGCCCAAGCTGGCCACCTCAGGTTAGTCTTAATATCCACTTCATACACCTTGTAACTCTACTACGGATTTCTATCTTCAGGTTAGAACCTCCCACC